GCCTACAAATGAGGAAATCTAAGAGGATGGAACAGATGTCACTTCTACACTAGCTTTACTTGGACAGTTGTCTGTTCATTTTCCCATACTTTTCTTCCTGGTTCACACATACACTTAATGAAAACATCTTCAGCCTTGATATATTACATTATTTAATTGTGCTGATATTCCTATTAACCTTTTTTTATTTTTTCCCTTTAACCTTTAATAAAATATTCTAACAAATGATTGGGTAAAGAATGTAGTGTAATTATGCAATAATATGAAAGATTCAAATATATAAAATAAATGTATTAGTGATATATACTAATCTAAAACGACTCTAACAATGAGAATAGAATACAACTGTGTGTCACCAACTTTGAACCAAAGTAAAATATATTGGGGTTTTAGCCTTCATTTGAGTTGCTGGCTAGGGATGTCCCAATACTCTTAAAATGTGTGGCCTACTTCTGTCACCCTTGGTTACCTCTCAGAATTATATCCACACATAAGTGTATCCTTAAACTCTTATCAAGGAAATTTATCTTTGAAACAGGCTGAGATCACTGTAGAGTAATAGACCAATCAAAATTCAGATCTATGGGACCCTGAACTGGTGGATACTTCTATGAAACATGGCTGCACAAAGGAACATTGCATAAGAGGGATCAAAAATATTGCAAGAGCCAGTGTATCATGAATTTCCTGTGAACTATATTGACTAGTAATATTATAAGCTATCCCCATAAAGTCCCATCAACATGATGCCTACACACGTATTAAATATAGATGATACCAATGGTCATGCCAAAGTAGAAACAAAATTGTCACTGGCCTTAGCATACACAAAGAACTATAGGTGACCAAAAAAATTAGGAGCAAAGGAGGTGTTCTCCTCCAGGGAAGAGAAAACTAATTAGTTGTACAATAGCAAATGGCTAACCCTGAAAATACACATGCAATTAACATTATATGGGTTATATGCAAATAGACCATATATGCGTATACTATATGTATGCAAAAATTTGTAAAAAGATGCCATTTATTTGTAAGCAGGTGAGGTGCAATATGTTGGACTGCTTGGACAGAGGAAATGACAGGGAGAAATATAAACTAAAATATAAAAAAATGTTGTTCAATATAGTAGTAATATATAATCCTGACTTATAAATGAACACAGGGCTCTTAGTAATCAATGCATGTATATTTTCTTCAACTTTAAATTCAAATGTATAATTGTATATGTATATATGATTTAATGCATCCTTTCATGGATAATCAAAAGTATTCTAGAAAGTGCAATGGCAGTTTCTGTGCATGTGGGTGTAATGTGGTTAATAGTGCATGTGGAAGGTTGTATGTGTGTGTGGGCACACACCTGTGCAGGTGAAAATGTATGTGGATACTCATGGATGAGAAAGGCCCCCAAGTTGATGCTAGGTGTTTTCCTCAATTGCTCTCCACTTTTTGTATTGGTGAATGACATCTAACTGAACGTGCATTTTGCGAATTTTTGTTATCTTAACTGGATCCTCTGTCTCTGTATATAAGATCCAGTATTAGAAACAGCCACTATATCTGCTATACTTTTACATAAGACTTTTGGAACCCAAATACCTTACTCTTTCAAGCTCTTAGCTGTTACTTTTGAAAAGTAAACACCATGTCACAAATTACATATTTCTGCATAAAATTTTCGAATATGGTTTACATGAGAGTAGAAATATTAAACAACTGAACATTTATCTCTAACTTTAAAATGAACATTTCATATTAAAGTTGTGGTCCATAAATGCCATTTGGAAGGAAAATACTAAGCTTTCTTGTAGATGATTTTTACTAGACATCTAGCTTGAAGTAAACATCCCAAATCAATCTTAAACAAGCAATCAAGGACACTGATTCTATGACAATATAACAACAATGCCTTGGATCCTTACAAATAAAACTAATCGCATCACTCAGTATGTTTGATTGGTACACCTATCAACTCTCTTATTGAAAACTGGGGGGAAATGACTGACAGAGAGTTTGCATGTAGTACAGTGATTTCTGGGGTACCTAAGCTCTTCCCCATCTTCAAATCATGATATTCAATACTTTCCTAGTGTGCTACATGTAACTTCCAATTAAAATAAAAGTCTTATCCTATTATGTACAGTGGTGTGGATGGTCTGAAGCACACCAAGCATCTAGAACTCCCAGACTGAACATCACTTCTAAATATATCCATACATTTGACTGCAAACAATGAAAATGTAGAAGAGAAACAATCAGTCTTCCATGAGATTATATTATTTATGGCAATCAATCTTTAAAAGAAGAAGATTTAAGTACCATTTATTGTAATCCCAGCATATAAACTGTTTCTTTTGTGTTCTTTCTCTCCCTCTTTCTATTTTAGCAATTAATATTATAGTGTCAGTCCTTCAAATCATAGAACAAATGAGGATGGTATCATCACAGTGTCCATCAGTAACATGCTAAGGACCCACTGGAAATGTATAACTTGAAAGGCATTCATTTTCAAAGTGATAAGAGAACTAATGGGGAGAGTGCCCAAACTGAACCACATGAAGTGTTGTTGTCTAGTTCACTGACATACTGACTACCATTTTTTAAACAGGTCCTTGGCTATTTGTAAGCGGCTGTTGGCCATGAGAGAAGAATATTTTCCTCCACATCCCAGAGGAAAGTTAACAATATAAGTATCTGCTTTGTTTATGTAATCTTTAGCAAAATAGTCCTTGCATTTAAGATCAAGGAAATTGCTATGCAGACTGAACAGTTGTAGGCATCTCTGCCCCCAGCAAGATAAAAAACATTTGAATATCAATATAATCAACATTCAGAGGCCTTCATCTAGAAAACAGACCTTTAGGCACCTGCAATGAAGATACTTAACTAAGCAAACTGAAAATGTTGGTGTAGTATTGTCATCAATACATTAAAAGAGCATCATACACACTATGTTTTATTTTTCAATGGCTGTACTTTTCCATGGACTATACTAGCTCAATCAAATTATTCAGGGTAAGTGAATACTTATCCTCAATATTTTCAATGTGCTCCAGTGCCTATGCACATTTAGACACACACTCACAACACTGAGTTTAAAAATAAGGGAATGTTTCAACTCCTAACCATCCATAAGTCAATTTGGAAGAGAGAAAACACAAATCTTCTAAACACTCAGTTTTTAGAAATTGGGCCAAAAATACAGATGCAAAGCCTAAAAATTATTTTCCTATGAACTAATACAAGCAATCACTTTATATTTACTATGTGAAACATACTTTGTTTAAGATTTCATAATGTTGTACAATTAAATCTCCAATCACTCAGCCATGTCCATTTTAGCAAAGGTCATAAGAGGAACAATTAGTACCAGTTTCCACAATATGAGATCACTGTATCAGAGAAGCTGCTGCCCACACTTGACTCTACTACAGAGAGTCATTCAGTGTGCACCAGTAACAGCTTGAAGCAGAGTTTCCTATCACATTTCTTCTACTGTCATAATCTCCTCTGCTATTGGCTTATTTCTGCTGAGCATTTCTGCTGCATTTGAAATAGCTTATCTTCATTTCACACCAATCCTTGTTTTCAGTTAGTCAATCAATAATGACCATTAGTATCATTGTCTCTTCGTTTCCTTAAGTTAGCTATCTGTGTTGAAAAACACTGGAACTATACTGCATAAAGTAATTATTGGCCAGAGCCCATTAAGTGAATACCTTCTAGAGTGAATGATTTGGGTGACTGACTCTAGGTTAATTCATGAGCTGTAAACATACAATCAAAAATATAACAGGAATCTTGAAAGAAGCAGCAATAATAAGTAGTGCTTGAATCATAATGCTACAGAATGGACTCTCCTCTTGCATCACAATCTGCTTCCTCCTCCCATATCTTACAAGGTATGTTCAAGATCTAGTCTGCGTTTCAAACTCCTGATTCAGGACTGAATATGTTCTTTGAGGAGACTGTACACTCAGACAGAGAACAGTTATTGAAGAGGAGCAGCCCACTGCTTTTAACATCTGTGGGTGATCCCAGAGTGGAAGATGAAGGTTTGAAAATGCAAGCAGAGCGTATACTTAGGTTTTTGGCTGCATAACAAGATCTTTCTCTGATGTGTGTCTGGGCTCAAAGCAGACATGTCATCACCTGAGCAAAGCAAAAAGCAGAATATTTTTTTTCCTAAGATCCTCATTTTTCTCAATTCCCAATCTAGAAAATACAAGGAACACTTATCTTGATCAAGCATAAGGGTTATTTAATGCAGGAGACGCCAGAGTTAAGGGTATGTCAATAAACCTAACTAATAAAATTCTGTTTTCACCTGTTAACGTATAAAAGATCTGCCTGGCTCAACACCTACATTCCCATCTCAGCATCTAAATGCACAGCCCACTCACATACAAGTACGGACGTGATTTACCTTGATTTTCAGATGTGGAAACAAAGACAAAATTAGAGGATTTCTACACTCAGAACAAAGGAAGATTAGGAAGTTAAGGCAATGTTTGAGAGTTAGTAACACAGGCTGACACTAAATCAACTAGCTAGTGCTCACAGGAGCCGGCGGGCTTCTCTCCTGCATCATTACTGTGCCTTTTTATACAGCATAAAAGTTTCACCTTAGGCTTCCATAAACATCTATGAAAGACATTTTCAAAAGGATAAGTAAAAAGAATCTTTAAAAAAAAGGAAAAAAAGCAAACAAATTCCAAAAATTAAAAAAATAATAATAAACAAAACAAACAAGCAGAAAGGCTGCCCTTACAGCAGTTTGAGTGCAGAGACACCACGTAATTTTACAAGATCCCAGAAAGACAACAATTAAAAAGCACTATGGAAAATCTGACTGTAATATCCCTATTGGGGTTTCATCACGCTGATCGCACGTCTATAGACAAGCATAAAATGCCGCTTAATTGCACGCCCTCAGTATTCAAATGTGCCTGGCAGAGTCCCCTTCCAACTTCTTCAGGGGCAGGGCAGAGAACAGCACATCCACAGACCAACATCCACACAAAACCGATTGGATTGTAAGCTGCACATTCCAGAGGCTCTCGGGCAGCATTCCGGCATAAGAAGCACACATTTTTACAAGCAGCAAGGCTGCCGGCTGTAACTTTGCCATTAACACAGCACCCTGTGAAAAGCATCCAGGAGGAAGATTTCGCCAATACTGTTTCACTCCGAACTGGGTAAGCATCCCCATTGTATAAAAATATTAATGTCACGACAGAGTAAAGTGTGATGTATTGAAGCCTTACCTTTGCTGACTTGCCCTAACTGGTGGAAAGGAACTTAATTTATGAGAAGCAGAGGGGGGGACTTTCTCAGAGCTCTGGGCAAGGCTGCTCGCGGTCCTCGGAGAGCCCAGGCTCAGGCTCAGCGCACCTCCAGCCCCAGGCTCCCAGGCTGGTTCTCTGCAGCTCCCGAGCGCGCCTCTGATTGGCTGGCAGCTCTTGTCGGCCTGATGCTTGGCTCTCGCAGTCTCTCCTCCTTCCTCTGCTCTCTGACTCTCCGTGTACTCCTTTCCCCTTTTTGCATCCTTCTCCCACACCCCAGTGTACATACTTTTGGGGCAGCACTAATTCCCTTTTTGTCCCATAGACAAGGTCACACAAAAAGCAGGAAGGTTAATAAGAATCGTTTCAGTACACAAACAAAACAAAAACAAAAAATCCCGTGTTCTTGAAAATTGATGGCCAGGACTGTGACAGTTTAGACCAGCAGTTCTCTGCGGGGGATGGGGAAGTAGGAACAGAAGCAGGGTATGGCTGTCACAGGGAGTGGTGGTATACATCAGAAATGAAAGAGCAGACGCAGCCAGGGCAAGCGCTGATGTGGCAAGCTGATAATAAATTTTCATATTTCCGTGCAAAGTCGTCACAGCCTGCTAAGCATTCAACTGCTGGCTCATTCATCAGCGATCCTGTAGTATAGAGGAAGTCCAGCGGTTTAGCTTGAGAGATGACCTTTCATCCTTACCCCAAATACTCAGGGCAGGGCATGTAGGGTTTATATTAGATGGGGCTTCCTCTTAGAGGTCATCATCATATTTGTGAAGATGAATAGGACTGCAGTGCCTTCTCTACCTCTTGCTGGTGCCAGAAGAACTAAGCCAAGCATGAACTTCTCACCCCTTCTGACTCCTGAATAAATTACAACGATTTGTAATGTACACAGCTTATGATAACAGGGATTTCAGGCCTGATTGGCTGTTTTCAAAATTGATGTGAGCCGCTGAGGCAGCTTTGGTGCTTTCTCCCAGCAGGAAGTCACATATGCTCACCCACCAATATCACCCTGCATCTCACTTGAAGCATCATTGTAAATAAGTGTAGGTGTTCTCCTCAATTGAATGATTAGTCCAAGGGTCTCCTGGCAGGGATATTAACACTCACATAGCATTCTCAATCATTGCGAACATCAGGAGACTAGCATTCCTTTGGAAATGTATTTGATAAAACTACCAGAGCCCCTTTTTGCTCTTTTTAGGAGGAAAGCTCACTCAGGCTTAGCACAGTGGGCATGAACAGGATTCAGGTTTGCTAATATGCAAGACACCTGGGTGTGAAGCACGCTTGGGAATCTCGACCTGATGCAGATATGGACGAGTGTGGGAACCCTCACCATCATGAGTCTTCTCCAAAAATCTAGAAAGCAATCATTAAAAAAAACTTCTTTGTGAAAGTTCAGTAAAAACATATCCATGCAATTATTGCTAAATCATGGTAAACGTCTGACAAAGGTTACTTAACTTGTAGCAGTCCCTTTTTATTTGGTCTTTTTTTCTGCATTAAGAAAGGTCATTTGAGAAGATAAGGAAAGTGGTATTTCTTTTAAAATGTGGCAGAGACAATGTTTAGAACCAATTCCTTGTATTTGGTTGTCTTCATTTCACTGGAGTATGTGCGTGGTGGAGCCATTTCAGTTCATCTGATGGTTATGTTGAAAGAAACGAACAGAAAAGGTGATGGAAGGGATGCAATAGAAAGATTACTTATTGTGAAAGAAGGGGGCATTGAGAAACTCGGTTGCTCCTAAGAAAGATGTAGGAAATCAATTAAAATTTGGAAAGCACCAACATTTAGTGTTGGGGGAATGCAGAAAATGAGTGAAGGTGTCAGAATAATTTACCAATGTTCTCCCAGGCTTTGTTTCTTCTTTCCCTTGTGGTTTCGAATAGTGATGAAGGCTTTTCTTTACATGGTGCTCTAATTTAGTATTTCGTAAATATTTCCTGAAATTTTGAGATTATAATGTAATTACAAGGTTTTATCATTACTTTTGTCCCCTCACATGCAATCTCATATGCAGCTTCTTGCTCTCTTTCCAATCCATGGCTTCTTTTATATTTCCATTAATTTTTTATACACACATATATATTCATATATATATAATATATATTGCATAATGTTAATTTGATGTATAGTCAGCTCCTCTGAAAATATACATACAAGACAATTATACAGACTAATCCATTTTGATTCTTTAAAATAATGTAAAAGCAGAGTGAAGTTCTTACTTTGCTTTGTTAGTGAGGCACTGATAAGTGAGGGAAGAGGTACTTGTAAAAATAAAGAGGATGTGAAGAAGGGCATCTGATCTGAGAAAAGTTACATAGTTTAGTTTAATCATTCACATCACAGCATACTCAGAAGACAGCCACAACTTATTTCATCTTTTCCAGTTGATCGAAAGAAAAATGTTTGTTTACCTGGCTATAATTTTGTTTTCTCAGACATCAGCAATGAGACTTTTAAGGATGCAGTTGAAAATAAAACAAGGTTTTACTATCCCCTCCCCATACTTTGTGGTATTCCATATAACGGAATGGAGTGGACAAGCTTAGTATGAGTCACCCGATCAAAACTGCAAAGCACAAATCCATTCCTATGGAGACAATCTCTTTATCAAGGGATGTTTTGTGTCAATGACTGAAATCATACTAAGGGCTGCAGGTACTCTCCAAACACCATGATAAAATGAGTAGTACATAAGTGGCTTTAAATGTTTGATGTTCTGAACCTGTGCCAGCTTTCTCCAGCAACAGGAAGATGAGCCTGTTGACTACCTAGTACATGGGTGTGTTCTCAGGTTACAATGAAGACAACAAATGGACTAATTTGGAGCAGGGTTCCTTGGGGAAAGCTGGGTAATAAACATGATCATTTTCTTTTTATGACCAGGATTAGTTTAAAAGACTAGACCATGTATTTCAGGAAACAAAATTTATTATGGAGCTAATCTCTGAACCTGAAAACACGGGAATTTCTCATACTGAACCCTTCTTTTGTTACCTTGGAAGAGTTATAAGAATCATTTTAGCTGGTGGCAGACAAGCATCCAACACAAGATTGATGCTGTTCAGACTAAAGAAACTGTAAAGGTAAAATTTAGTGCTACACTGTGAACCTTTTGAGAAACTCAGAAAACTGTCACTTTAGATGCCACCACATGCTCAGTTTTACTGTGAAAATTTAGGAATCTTATATTTTCAAATACAAAACAGGATCGTAAAAAAGAAAAAACTGTATATAGATACTTCTACATCTTATTGTAATTCAAGGATGGAAAGAGTAAAGGGAACAAGCATGGGGGGAACAAGGATGCCAAACCAGTTCATCCTTGAATTTATTGAGTTCTCTCAGGAACCAATGCAAGTGATTAAGGTATACAGTTTTTGTGTTGATATGTGTTATGAAAAGACATTCACATTTCATCTAATTAGCATATCAATCACCTCAAGTAGTTACAGTGTGTTTGAAAATAATGTGCAATAATTTTTTTATTTTCACATGAGAAAAATCAAATAAAGTTATATTTTTACAACATTGGTTGAAAGAATGGAGAGAAAGCCTGTACAGATGCAAATATATCATGCTTCCTCATGATAAGGCACAGGGATCATCACAGGAGAGGGCCAGAATGTTGGTGAATGGATTGCTGTGAGATGAATTCCTATGAACATGACAGGGTTCATTGACCCATGATCTCAGAACAGCTGTGGTTTAGGGCACAAGTCCTTCACTTTGTTATAGAAGCCAATATTTCAACATGAATGGGCAAAGAACTTTGGAGATACTGTGGCATTCATAGCTTAGAGCCATTGGTAGTTGATAGCTGATGAGATGTGACAATTGTAAGAGGCTTGTGTAGCCCTACAAATACAGGTGTGGCACTAACTGGATTCAGTGGGATAATTTTACTTAGCAAAGAGGTAACTGGGAGGCATTTGGGAGCCTCAGTTTTCTGAGAGGAGGAAGCAAGGATAGTGAGGAATGAATATTATCAAAATACATTGTACTCATGTATGAAATTATCAAAGATAAACAAAATGTGACCTTCACATTGATTATTATACTTTACTTGACAAAAATAATCTTGACTCACTATGGCACTTCAGACTAAAATATGAGATAATAGGTCAATAATAATGCAAGGAAATCAAAAGATAGATATATATGAAGAACCTTATAAGTATTAATACAAAAAATTTGCCTAAAACAAATTATTTCCTTGCCACATAAAACATCAATCAATAAACTCATAATATCTGCATATATATATATGCACACAAGATGGGTTTTTATAGAATATCATAATATTGACAACTGATAAAGCAAGAGACCAAATTCAGTTTCTATTGATATCTATCTTCCTATAATCTATCATCTATCTATCTATCTATAATACATATATCTGACTATTATAGCTAGATAGTATTTTATTCCTAAAAAATCAATAGTTAATTCAGTGGGAAAGACAGAATGAAAAACAATGATTTCTAGGAAAATGAAAATACATCAGGATACAAATCATATTTTAGAGATCAAATCCTTAAAATATACATGTAATAATTTATATAACAAGCTTTTAAAATTCTTTAAATAAAGAGAGAATCTGGAAAAAGCAAATTCATATGTAAAGAGTAAGGGCAAGCAAATGATCTCCAGCTTTGTAAAGCAGAGTGAATATGGATTCTATAAATTTGAAATTCTTAAACCAAGAATGGGTTTGGAAAAATTACTAAGTGATGTATCAAAGACATGTGAAAACTTAGAGCAAGAAATAGTGGGACCTCCTGAGTCCAATCAATCATCTAATGAAATCAACCATCTGAGAATGAACTGTGACTTTCCATTTCGGGCATGACAAATGTGAAAGAGCAAACATGAAAGACAGCAATCTTTACATCAGCAGAGATGCATTTTAAAAACTTTAAGTCAAATCTCAATGCAGTATCATAAACATCCCAGAGCAGGATTCAAATGTAGAATGGGTTAAGTATATGGTATTGAAAAAATTCTTTAATATGCAAGATATATATACATATATAATATTATCTGTAAAATTAATCAATTGTTATGGTAATGAGAATATATATTTAGCTAAGGGAGTGGATCTTGGAGGAGTTACGGGTAAATGAACATGATCCAAATTTATTGTTCTAAATTTCCAAAAGACTAGTAGCAATTTATCTAACCTTAGTAAACTAAAAGTTCCCAGCCATCTCAATGAATTCTAGACCTAAGACATGGTGATTTAACTACAACATTTCACTATGAATAGTCATCATGTTTGTCTTTTTATTCTAATTAAAGTGTTTGTAAAGCATCACAATACTCTATTTCTTTAAACTGAAAAAAAAACAACAAACAAAACAAAGCAAAAAATAACATCTTGTACATCTC